TATTATTACTTTAATTATTTTATTGATTGAGAGGTGGAATTTGATCAGTGAACTGAGTTGAGTTTCATGAGCGGTATGTTCACGTATTCAAATATATTACTTTTTTCGACAAATTTTAACGATTTCTTGCAAGAACGCATAAAAATTAACATTGAATTGATTTTAGACGGATTGAAAATGTGACAATACCTGGCTTTTTGTTGTTGTTCCTGTTTCAAATTGATCTATTTGAAAGAGATTCTTGAGTTGAGGATGAGAAAGAAAAGGGTGTGATTCTCCTACCTCATTTTCAAATTGTTATATTTGAAAGACATTGTTGAAGAAAAGAGTGTGATTCTCCTAACAATCGTTCATATCTACCCTTCAACCACAAATTCATTCAGCAAACAGCTTAAAATCATCTCTCTTTATCCCTCTCAGATTTGGTTGAATTATCAGCATTATTAATGCAGGATTAGGTAGTTTCTTTCCTGTTTATTGTTATTCAACCCCAACTTCTGCTCTTATTTCTTCAGTTGTTGTAAACTAATAATAGAGAGAGGAAAAAAAGCTTCCATTTTATTCAACTAAACCTGACTTCTGTGAACATTGGCCTGGCCTCAGATCAGAGGACACCAGAAACAGTAAAGAAAAAACCAAACGACAACAAAACAAAACCAAATTATAGAACTCCACCATTATTCATTTGCTTTGAATCTCCCTCCATTTACCTTCTCCTCTAGTTTGTGCCTGAAATCAAGCAGAAATAAACCCCCTCATCATTCAACACACCCAATTCAAATGGTTAAGAAAAACAGAGAAAAAAGGAAAAAAACTAACCACAAGAGAGAGGTGGGAGGTGGCAAAGAGAAGGGAGGGTGGAGGCAATTCTGATGGTGCTGCAAAGGCAATCCTGCTGCACACCTTGGAGCGCACCACAGCACTCTGGGCTTGGGTTGCTGGCTGCACCAGGCAACACAAATGGTGCACAGCCATTCAGGTTGCTGAGCTGAGCTGAGCAGCTCTGTGCCTGTCCCTGTGCCTGACCCAACCAGCTCTGCCCCATCACCACAGCCACTAAAAACACCACCGCAACTTGCTTCATCATGCCTGCCATTCTTGATTGCTTTTATTTCTCTCTTCTTTCTGCTTCTGCTTCTGTTGTTTGATGATTTCTTCAGGCTTTTGGGTGTTATTTATAGGTGAAGGAAGATTCAGTTTTGCATGAGTTACCTACACACACCAATTCTGAGTTCATAGCTTTTTTGTGTTGGGTAGTCCAAAATCAACCTCAAATGGAGAGATTCGAAATGCTCATTCATCACAACAGTTTAGATAACACGCTTTGTTCAATGATCCACAGTTCTTTGATTGATTACACCAAAAAGGAAAAGCAAAAATGGGAGGGGAAATGTAATTTTATAAAGCCTACGGTAGGTAAAAAATAAAGTAGGAAAAAAAATGGAAAGTGAGAGGCAGTGGTTAAGTTGCTTTAGATCCCTGTTGATCTGAAAGTGCAGGAGCTGTCCAATAGTTTTTTACTGCAAATAGAAGTTTCTCATTGTGATTAGGTCCATCTTCACCATGCACAATTTGACTGCTCCAGTTCAACTTATCGGTTATCGTCTTGATTTTTGCCAAAATGTCGATGTTTTCTCGGAAGATTACGCTTCCTTCTGGCCTCAGAATTCTGTCCATCTCTAGTAGAATATCTTCCATCTCACATCTGCAATGCAGTTTCAACAAAAACACCATTTTGACATCTTTTAGAAGCAATGGAAAATCAACAAAAGCTCAAAATGCTCTGCTCTCTACAGAACTTTGTTCAAACTGTTGCATGAATAAATCTTCACATTTTCATAGTCTATGGAAAAAGGCAATACCTATTCTCATAGAGGCTAAAAACTGAATCTGCGTGAATGAAGTCATAAGTTCTTGGATAAGTAGACATTGCCTCACACCTGCAATCCATCCACAGGACATAAATTACTCAAAATGAACAAAATCCAATGAGTTTTTTAATGCATGATCACATGTCCATTTTCTTGTGGTGCTCATTAAGTAGTAAAATCATCATATTTAGGCGTGTGTCATGGTAACGTTTTCGTTTTCTGTTTCTTGTTTCTCACGTCATGGGCGTTAAATACTTACCAATCTTGATACGTGCCGATCAAACCCCTGTCGTATATGACTCCGAGCGTATTGACTTTGACATTCACAGGGACGACATTCATCACCCAAACTGGATCATCAACCAGAGCAGCAGCAAATCCACCCAAGAAAGCATTCATGTCTAAGAAATTGCGGTAGCGGCCGGGCTGACCCAGCTGATTGTTGATGGTTCTGTAATATGACAACCTCTTCTTCCATAGTTCAGAATCATGAATGAAAGTTTCCTGTGTCACCCCTTTCACATTTCCCCTGCTGATCCTCTGTGGGATTGCATTTAGCCTCTCTGGCCATCTCGCCAACTTCCCTCCTGCAATTTCCTTGCTGCTTGAAACCTCTGGCAAGTGTGTCAAACAAGCTTGCATTTCTGTATACCTGAAAAGTGAAAAGGATCAAATTCAACTCCAAATGAGAGGGCAAAAGTTCTGAATGAGAGGAGAATGAAGAGAGGATACCAAGCTGTGTCAGGATCTTGAGCATCACAGAAAGGTGGATTCTTTGCTATCTTGCGGTTGGCTTTGCAGTTGAAGTGATTGATGGGCTTCTGCCAAATGGCAATGTCACCATCTTCCACCAGCTTAGTCCAGCACAGGCTTTTGGCCACCCTTTCAATGGCAGTCTGCTCAGCTTTCAAGTCCTCTTTAGTCCTCTCCCAGCCTTTCCAATGCTTCTTCCAGTTGATCGGAGGGCCCGACAAGATCCAGTACCCGCCGGGGCGTAGAACTCGGTCAACTTCTATGAGGAAAATCCCATCTGCAACATAAAAAATGACATCAAAACAAAAGAATGACATTGCCAAAGAGTGCAGGAATATGGGAGTTTTTTTAAATTGTTGAAGTAAATACCATATTGGGACCAGGGAATGAGGCAGCGAGAGCAATGAGCCATGTCAAAGGCGGAAGAAGGATAAGGCAATCTCTTAGAAGCAAGAATGCCAATGAGTGCAGGAACTCCCCTCTCCAAAGCAAATTGAACTTGAGCTTCGTGGGTGTCCCTTGGAGCAAACGACATCGTTACAATGTCCCTTGACAGCAGATAAGCTCCCCAGCTTCCCACCTTGTTCACCATCACCCAAATTTTTTACTTAAGTATTATTAGTTCGTTAATGAAAAGAAACAGTTAAATTATAAGTTTAATACACCAACTTTTTGTGTCTAATAACTTCTTACTTCTACATTGTTGTGGTTATATAGAAAAACACACTCGTATTAAAATTCAATATAATGTATTATATTATTTACCCTTTTTATTATATGTCTAAAGAGTAAAGACTCCCTTACAGCAGAGTTTTACAACAGAGTTTCATGAATGAAATATAGAATGAAGATGGTCCCTAAACTTTAAAACGCAATTTTTAATTTTCAATTTCATGGTTAATAGCTCACATGAGTTTAACTTTGTAGTAATTGACACTTGTCTCTAACTAAGATGTCATGAGGTTGAGTCTTCCACCTCCACTCTTTGTATTCAAAGAAAAAAAATTATATCTAATAAATTCTCCAAACTTTTAATTGAATATCTAATAGCCCTTAATTTATTTGACAACTAAAAATTCATAAATTTATTAGATACAAAATTTGAAGTTAAGGATTTTATTATCTTATGTTAAATAAATTTGTCAATTTTGAAAAGTTTTAATAAATTGAGGACTTTTAGACATAAAAGTTAAATTTTCAAACATATGCTCAACTTCAAAAACCTAGACACAAAATTGTACTAAAAAAACAAATTGGAAGTTGAAAAGTTTACTACGTAAAATACTAATAATACAAAAAGAAAAAAAAAGAGAGAGAGAAATATTTTATTGGGAATACTAATATTATTATGACAGAGAGAATCATGGGATTTCCCAAACCAATTTCTGCGCCATGACTGCCACTTGGACCGTCCATTTTAGGGTCAACCAGAAAAGGAAGCGTTACCCTTATGAACAGATTTCAAAACTGCCTTGTTTCCTTTTAAATTCTTTTTTTTTTTTCATAAAATTATATTTGTACAAAAACTGCTACATACTTTCTTCACACTGTACTGCATGTTCTAAATATCTTAATTTTCAAACCTTCACACTTCAAAAATACTTTTTATGTACACCCGTTTCAGAAAAGTACTTGAATCAATTTAATTAATTAAAAGATCCATGATTTTCTCCAACCCATTCTAATTAATCAATGACCCAATTTCAGATTTTTGCACTTCCCATATGTAGAATAATAACATTATTCTAAAATAATAAAACGGTTTCCTGTCCTTTCCACTTCATCAGACATGATGGGGGAATGTTTGTTAGCAAATTAAATGATTTCAAACAAATTTAAAAAAAAAAATTGAAGTAATTACCCCACAGCCGGTATCAATGGCGGTTCTGATGGAGCCATCTTTGAGATTAATGAGCTTGCCAATATGGTCAATGTATGCATCAGCTCCATCAGGGAACATGGTCCCTCCGCCGGGGAATCTGAAGGTGTCGCCTTCGTATCTGATCCAATTCTGCACAGCCTTCTCCACCGTCAGATCTTTATGTGGCACGTTGACGTACCACGCGAGATCTCTGCTGTGGGGCCACACGAAGGGATTCCGGTACCCCGGCGGCGGAGGAATCCGGCACTTCAAAACCTCTTCCTTTTCCGGGCAGTGCCTCTCTCTGTAAATCAGTCTGTTCCTCGTGAATTTCAGCGACCTCTGCGTGTCCTCGCATGGCGTGTACTCGCTGTACTCCACGCCGCACGCCGGAAAGTACTTCACGGGCGCGGCGGCGGCGGTGATGGTGGTGTTTTTGTTTTTGGTTTGGATGGTAGTGGTGCATTCGGCGGCGCCGGAGGGCTGCTGGCGGAGGCCGAGGAAGTAAGAGGAGATGGAGAGAATGAGGATGAGGGAGAGGGTGTAGATTTTCCTCCATTGGCCATGGGAATTATTAGTGGGTTTTGAAGATTTGGAGGCCATGGGGGAGAAATTTTAATTAATTGAAACCAGATTGGGATTCTTCTAATTGGCCATGGCCATGGAGAGATTACAGAACCAGAGAGGAGGTGATATATTTATATAAGGCAATGAAATAGAAATTGATTGTGAAGGATTTTGAAATAATATTATTATTCTCTGTCTCTGTGCGACCAAAATTTGGAAGGTTCAGTGCCAGCCAGTGATATGTGTAAGAATGGTATTATGTCAAGAGAATCATTGTTCGAAAATATTCACCACCCATTAAATTAATTGATAAATAAGATAGAAAAATGAAAAACAATAAATTGGTGGTCGTCGGTATATACACATTGTTCATAATTGTTTTCCATTCATTAACTTGGTTGTAACTTAGGATTTGTACGTGTATCTTTTAAAGAGGCTTTAATTGGTTTCTTTTAACTTCTAATTTTTGTATTTAATACACATTCTGGTTGGTTAGATATTTACTTGTGTGCATGCATTGTTGATGGTATTATTTTGAAGATTATGCGGTGGACTTGGCGGCGATAAAACTAGAGAGATGCAGATGATAACACGAACTTCTAAATGTAAATAGAAAAAGAAAATACTTGGCTCATTTAACGGCGGCACCAAATATTGCCCTTACTATTATTGAAAAATTGACAATTCATTAATTTTTATAAACAATTTATGTTTTCATTTATATCTCATAGTTGTCAAATATTTAATAGTGACGAGGACAAAATTGATCGTTAAGGAATTAAATATTTTTTAATAAAAAATTAACCATTTTGGAGCACGTTATACATTTTTAATGGGTAAGAAACTTTGAGTATAATTTTTAAAAGTTTTGTCACAAATTTATCGTCTATCATATGGTGTTGGTCCATTGGTTTCAAAGAGATCAAGAATGTAATTCAAATTATGATGGTCATCTACACGCAATCTGACTCGAATACTCATGGTTATCAAAAAGACAAGTTACAAGAATAAATATCTCATTCATACTGAAAAAGTTGACTGTGTGCGAAACAGATAAGTTCAAACTTGTTTTAAAATTTTAATGAATGTCATAAATGATTTTGACTTCACAATTTTCAAAATTTTTATTTAATTTGGCTCCATTAAAAATGCATTATTGTAGAGAACTATGCACGTTTGATAATTAGATTATCTCGCTATTCTTATATTTTTAAATTTTAAGTATTTGGATTTACTAATTTCTCTTTATATATATACCTAAGGGTTAAAATAATTATAAAGATAACTATTTTGTTTATATATTAATGTCTTTGCGTATATGTTAATAATCTCTCTTTCTAATTAAATTGGTCATCGCCTACGTTTAGGTATTTATGAGTTTTATATTTTATTATGTTTTTAGCAACTTTGATCAAATAACACTGGAAATAAGTTAACAACTTGAAAAAATCTACTATTTACAATCAAAAGAAAAAAGTTGTCAAATAAACTTAAGTTTTCAAAACTGAATAGTAGAAATCAATTTGTTCCCACATGATAAATTGTTTTCCAAATTTGGAAACATATACAAAAATAAATTATTTCCAAATAAAAAAAAGATAGAGAGATTATTTTCCAACAGTAACAATCTCTTTGAAAAAATAAGAGAGAAAACCCACAACTCTCCGATGCCAAATAATATATACTTTCAAAAACACATTAAAATTTTAAAGTAATGATAATTTTAGCCCAAATTTTGTCCCCGGTGGAAAAAAAAAAGAAAATTTGGTTGTCCTGGAAAAGAGAATGGTCCTTACAAAGTTTATAATAAACATAAGTTACTCCTCTTATTATTAACCGATTTTGATATGAAACTCATGAATGTTGACATGGTATTCCAAAAAGTTGAAACGAATATTCGGCCAAAAAATGAAATTTGGTCTATCAATGGACCAAAAGAGTCACAATGGACATTGAACCATTCCTCACGGTATCAATTAATATTTAGATAGAACTATGAATATTGAGGCCTATTTGATTGGCTAAATCAATATGATATATCAACCATATTAACATTAAAAAATATCGAAAATTTGTTACAATTATTTATATTCCGCGTAGTAATGAAAAAAATCGAAAATAAGTAATAATTGACTAGTCAAATAGATTTTAAGAGGGAAAAAAACAGTAAGCTGTGTAAGGAAAAACCAATAGATATTGCTGAAACAGGACACATATAAGTTATAATTGGCAAGTCTCCTTTCCTTTTCGCGAAATGCCAAAGAGGTAATTAATGAAATTTAGCATTTTCTCAAAATTTCAATAATATTTTCACTTGGACAGCTATACACCCATTTTACTTTTCATTTTCATTCTTTTTTCTTTTTTTTTAAATAAAAGTCTATTTAATACCAACCTAAATATAGCTAAAGCATCTCGCTAATTCTTTACAAATTAGAGGTCTAATCTTTCATCTCTATATTTGTTGTACTAAAAAAATATCATTCATTAAAAATTACAAAAGTCACTTGAGCTACATTTGATCTCTAAGTTCCAACAATATCAATAAAAAACCAAGGAAGAAAACAAGTATTCCAAAGAAAGAGTGACGCAAAGAAATAACCTATTTAGCTAACAGAAAATGAACAATAAGAAATGGTCAAAATTTCACCAATATTAAAAATAACTCAATTGGTTAGTGTTAGGGATGGGGACACATTCCACATCTCCAATCGTATGATATTTTCTACTTTTGAGCACCAGCCCTCATGATTTTGCTCCTGGTATCACCCAAAAGATCTTGCATTTATGAAGATAATGTCCCTAACTCATGTGCTAGAGATCTTTTTCTTTTCTAGCTAGCATGGACTTTAATCGTATTTCCAACTGTTTTCATCTTGATTAAAGGACTATTGGTGTAACTTTGACTGCACATCTAACAGTTAAAAACATACATCATTCAGTAAGAAGTTAAATTATTATCTAAAATTTAATAATTATAAAGATAGTTTTAATTTATCATCTACCACATGATGGGTTTTTGAGAAATTCATATCATAAATAATTAAACATATATTAAAAATATTAAAAATCTTAAGAGGGATTCAAACCTTCCCACTCTTCATTATTTGCCTCTTCTGAAAGACACTGTTCATCATTTTTATTAAAAAACTATTAAAAATTTAATATTTAAGGCAATTATAAATTACCTTTTTTGATTTTGACAAAAAATTTTAAATTAAAAAACACAAGTCCTTTCATAGAAAAACTTGGTGGGGGTGAAATTTAGAATTTCAAGGAAATTCAGGAGGACTAGTGATATTATAGAAATTTAGGGGGAAAACTGATATTTTGAGGAATTCCAGGAGGAATAGTGATATTATTAAAGTTGAGGGGGTAAACTGATATTTTAAATAATTAGTAGCTATTTTTATTATATTAGCGTGTTTTGTTTGAGGTTCGCCGTTACGGTTATTTCTGAAGTTCTGCGACTGAGGGTTTTGGGGAGGAGTAACCAGAGGTGAGAGGCTGACCAAAGCTTTTCTATCGAGTATCAATGGCGGACGACGATTACAATGACCTGGATATGGGGTTCTCCCTCTCTCTTTATCTCTTTATCTCTATTAAAATTACTTTTCTTGAATCTTTTTACTCTCTCCTTTGGTCAATTGGTTTAAAAATTTGTCAGATGAAAAACCCTAATTTTGAAACTAAGTCTATTTTTTCAAGTTCAACTTGGTGTAGAATGGATTTGGAACTGAATTTGCAAGGAAAACAGTTCCGCATGATGGAATATCATGACGGTGTTCGGAAGGAGATGCTATCATGCATCGGAACCAAACTTGATTGTTCGACCAGTACTGCATGAAACCGATTTTCTATAGCTTTAAGCGTGTGACGAGGAACTTACATGAACAATATTCGCAAGTGCCTGATTTTCTGGCTGCCTAACAGCTCACAATACCAAATTTTGAGGTTTAAGCGTGCGCAATAAATTTAGATAGCGGCTCGCGATATATTAATTTTCTTAGGTATAAATTATTGACTTCTTCAGCACTCGAAAGCTTGGCTACTGGAGAAATTTTTTTAATTCAAAATTTCAACTTTTTGACCTTCATAATCAGATAACAAATTAGGTTTGTAACTGTCACTCGTAATTGTGGATCCTACAGCATAGGCCTCGTGATCTGAAAAGATTCTGACAGATTTATGCTTATTACCGGATGCTTATGTTCATAAGTATTATGTTTTACTGAACAACTTTAGGTTGTGGTGGTTTTGCTTATTTGTTGGGGAATCCACGTTTTCTTTATCAGTTAACAGGAACTCTCTTAACTTTTATCTTTATAGTGGATTACTATGTCTAAGAATTAAACGATATGGGTTGAAAGATTGTTTCTTAAGTTTTTCTGCCAGTGGTTTAGTGCATTAGGATATTCCATTTGCTGCATATGTATCATCAATCTTCATTTGCAACATCCATAGATTACTGAAAATTATCAATTCTTTGAAGCAGGCATCTATGTTTATTGTTTTTTATGCCCCTTTCCTATTTGCATGAAGGACTCAGCCCTGCATCCAGAATACAGTTTCATCAGATTGCTGTACCAGCTCTATTTTGTATTTTTATTTTTACGTATACCATCTGGTAATTTAGCAATAGATATATTAGTCTTAGTGTTTTACACCACATTTTCAAACTTTTGTCCTTATTTGGGTAAGAAAGTTTAGTAATCCAGAGTGTACACTAGGAAAACAGATAAATGGAGTTTGGTTGTGAAAGTCTATAGATGAGGAGCTGTTGTAATCCAACTTTGAGGCTACACATTCCTATTTGATGTGAATATACTGATATCTTAGTTGTAGTTTGATCACATTGGTATAATCCTGTTTTGTGAAAGGCCTTTATATTTTCATCTAGGAGTGGAAGGTACAAATATCTTTCAGCTCTTATATTAATATTAATAAGTGGTTTTTGATGCAGATATGAAGATGAGCCACCAGAACCCGAGATGGAGGTAAGAAATCATTGGTTCAATTCTCTGTGAAAGAAAGTGGATTACTGTTCTTTTTTATTTTATAAATAATAGTGGAACTTGGATGATTCACAGGAAGGGGCTGAAGAAGAATTGGATAATAATAACAATGATGATGTTCTTGGTGAACCTGTTGAAGCTGAGGAAAAGGAAGATGAAGAACCTGTTGAACGTGTGCGTAAGACCTCAAAATTTATGACAAAGTATGAACGTGCTAGAATTCTGGGTACACGTGCACTCCAGATCAGGTTTTCTTTCTCAACTTTTGTTACATCCAAATTTTTACTTGTCAGCACGTTGGAAAATAGTATGACAATTCTCTTTCCTTTTGAGCAGCATGAATGCTCCTGTGATGGTTGAGTTGGAGGGTGAGACTGATCCACTTGAGGTTAGATTTTTAAATGTTCAGCTTTTGAAAAGTTCTCGTTTGGTTTTGGCATTCAGTACATGTATTTTAGTTGCCCCATATGTGCATGCAATAGTTAGTACGCCTACTCAAAATTAAAATTTATTGGATGATACTCTTGAATCTGGCTCATCGAGTTAACTAAAACATCTTGTTGTTTACAGTTCGATTAACCCATGCTGAACCCAAAGAAATGTGTTGCATGCCATCGTAGATCTGACTTACCAAGTTACTAAAACTGATAATATTGTTTGCAGTTTGTAATAGCTCATGCTTTTCTGACATCTCGTCTAACCCTATACTGTTTCAGATTGCAATGAAGGAGCTTCGTGAGCGAAAGATACCCTTCACAATCCGTCGCTACCTGCCAGATGGAAGGTTAGGACTCTTATTTCTCATACTTCATTCTTTTTGTCATTCGGATTTACCTGTCAGCAGGGTGTGTAGAAAACCACGAAACTGGAAAGGAAATTTAATTTTTTAACTAAAAAAGAGAGAAACACTTGAGCTATCACAATATGCATTCTTTTACCACCCCACCCCTACTCCACCCGCAGCCGCCTTCTGCTAATTGCACCTGATTAATAATCGATTGCTGGTTCCTAGGATAGGATAAATTGGTTGATAAGTGAACTCTCTCCATTTTGTGCAGCTATGAGGACTGGGGTGTCGATGAACTGATCGTGGAGGACTCGTGGAAGAGGCAAGTTGGCGGCGCTTGATTGAATCTTGTTTGGTTGTGTAGCTGACACCGTATGAATAGTTTCAACTGCATAGCGATTGTGGCACCATATTCCCACTTAAGCACCTTGTGAACGATGCCATGGTTGTGCTTTTGATTGACTGCTATGGTTTTGTTGCATAACTATCTATGATATATTGAATAGGAATCACCATTGACAAACATTTTTTACTTTTTTAAAGCGTACCAGTAACAATTATTTTTCATTAATCGATATACCTTTTTAATCTTCAATTTCTCTTTCCAACTAATGGAAAATCTTGAAAGAACTCTTACATTGAGTTTGTAATATCATTTTCTAACAAAGAGTTGAAAGAAAATATAGCACTTCATCAAGTTAATAAAAGTCACCACTCTTTTTCTATAGCTGTTGCTGTTGTGGCTGCATGAGGGATGATTAGGCATGATTATACTCTTCAAAGTAGATATGTACGATGCTTCAAAGTGACGAGAAAAATAAGTTTATATGATCTTACGAAAAACATCATAAAAAGTAAGTATTATTACTTTATAAGGTTTAAGAAAAGTAAAAACAATCGACAACAAAAATAAAAGAGTTGAGTAAATGACATGTTTGTAATATAAGAAACCTACGCATATAACCTTTGAAGATGTGCAACGTGATATTTTCAGTTTATTCAATCATATATTAAAAATTAATGATAAATTTATCAATTCACACCGAATAATTAACTTTTTATTGTAAGTATTAAATTAAAGACGTCAATCCTACATAAATTTTTAAAACAAAAATAGTAACAAATTTAATTATAATATATATTTTATTTTCAATTATAAAGTAACTTCAACACATCAACGTGATTGCTACAAGTGTTTGAACTTAGAAAGAGAACACTAAGTGAGGAAGGTACGAAATTTTTGTAAAAAAAAAAAAAGTAGAAATGAGAATATAAGTTGAAGGTCGAAATCTATTAAAATTTCAAAATTTTTGAAATTCTATTGCTAAGTAAAGGTCAAGTTAAGTTTCTTAAATAATTTTTAGAAATAAATTAATAAAAAAAATTTATATTCAATCTTCTTATTTATTAATTTTATGAACTTAATATAAAGATTAAATTATTGTGGCACGTGGAACTGCGAAAAGAATTAATTAAAAAAAAAGACTATGAAATTATTTAATTGATATATAAGAATTAATTAAAAGCAGAAAAGTATGATGCTTTGAGGGTATTATGGAGTGTATACGTACACGTAAATCATGCTTGAATTTTATTTTATTCTTTGAAGAATTACATTCCTCTTAACACTGAAAACGCCATTTCTAATACTAAACAAATAAGATGGTATTAAATAGAACTTGAGTGTAAAAAGAGGAATGGTGAATCTCTCCTTATGGCTGCACCATTCACATAATGATGCTTATCAAGAGTGATAAAATTTCAGTAACACAATAGTAGTTTGTTCCTTCAGAAGGAGATGCAAGTATTTTCATAATATAATAATTGATAAGAAGGAAAAAGATAACAAAGATCCGCCAGGCAGTTGTCCTTTTGAACTACCGAACGAAAATGCATAATCCACGCTAAACTTATGGATCTAAGATAAAAAAAAATAGATAAGAAGAAACTGAGGTAGTTCCTGAGGCTGTTTTTGGGGTTTCCATGTTAGTTGATTGAACTTGGGATCATGGAACGAAAACCCCAAAGAAAGAGCTAAATCAGGCAAGGAGTTAACACACAGAGAGCATCTCCACAACCAGCAGTGCCAACAGTGGGGAGTATTCCTCAAGGCATTCAAATCAAAGGTTCAATCGTATGATCCACAACAAAGCCAGATTACGAGGGGAAAATAGAGAGGGAAAAAAAAGACCCAACTACTTCAGATTTATCATCCTGTACACATTTCTCCACCACAATTCCGGCAAGGGATGGCCAAATTACGTTAGTCAAGCCTTCCAGACATAACCCAAACATCATCCAGGTCATTGTTAATAAACCCGTTTTCTGTGAAATCTTGGCCTATATCTTCAACCAGACCCTCTGGCAGATGAAGATCATGCGGCAAATCAGATCCCTTTTGATTGAATCCACTGTTACCAGCGGAGGACTCGCTGTTTGAAGCAGCTTTGAAACTATTGCTTCTACTTGGGCCAGGGACACTGCTCCCAGACAGATTTGCAGATGTCACAGCTGCAACCGAGGTATTTCCAACAAAACCCATTCCCCTTCTTGCCAAACTTCTATTTGCATTTGGTCCAGCCAGGGGTTGCTGTTGTGCACCACCACTCTTACTGTTACTTGACATCTGCAGTAGTTGCTGGATCATCTGTTGTTCTAAGGCCTGGTTGCCTTGGACCGTCTGAGGATGATTTTGTTGGACCAAGGAGCCAGCAGTTGGTGGATGCTGTTGCAGCTGCTGTGATTGCTTTTGCAAGGGTTGCTGGACGCTTGAAAAGCCACCGACAGAAGAGTTCTGCATGGATCCAGGCATCAAAGATGCAGTCCCCTGTAGTGTAGGGGATGGATTATAGCTGGAGTTATTATAGGAAGATGAGGCCTCCTGTTGATGTGGGCTGGGGTTCGAGTTCATAGAGTTCTGTCTCATGAGAATATTCTGGTATGTAGACAGTGCCAAAGCAGCTTGTGCCGACCCACTCAAACCTCCACGACCGATCATTTGATGGTTGTTCATCCCATGGTTATCAAGTTCAGGATGCATTGCCATCAACTTATTAATTGTGTTGCGATCTGTGGGAAGACCTTGAATACTGGCTAGCTGCTCCATCTCCTGCATTTTTTGCATCTGGAGCTTGGCTGCAGTCGCATGTCGGGGGTAATTTTTCAAGCCCTCTGTAAAAACATCATTGTAAGTTCCAACATATAGTAACAGAAGACTCGAATTTACACACCACCCCCCCACCTTTAAAAGGAAAAATGGAAAAACGCAGTGCAGAGCACTAAAGAAATAAAAGTAGTCAATTCAGAGGTGAGAAAAATATCCTAGGCAATAGGCATGCGGAAAACTTATCCTCCACCAGAAAAGAGATCCCTAGAAAAAGACAACACGAAGGAAAGGAGTGATTAGAAAGAAGGGTGGAACTGTGAGAGAAGACTAAGAAGATACACATGAGCAATAGGAAACTGGTTCTTTCAAGATCAGGCTGTTAGGGTTTAGGGTTTAGGGTTCTTTGAACAATTTTGTTCATTTTCATTTATCAATGAAAAGTTTGTATCTTGTTCAAAAAAAAGTTCAGGCTGTTAGGGGGATTAGGATCAGATGCCGCAAAGACATTTGACCAACATGATTTTAGGAACATGACTTTAATCCTCAGTTAGTGCCAAGGATGTGTTTCATCGCTGATTGTTGATCTGAGCAGCATGATTTTAGGAAGTTAAGTTTCAGACTAATTAAACAGATGTAAAGATTCAAGAACGAATGGCTCTTTCTAAAATCTAACCTTATAATTGATATTAAGCCCACTCAAAATGAGGGTGCTATGCAACAGGAACCTCAGGAAAGTTCTCGTGTAAAATGTCATTTAGATCATTTATCCTCCATCCGTAACATTTTGGAGAAAAAGGCTTTGCACTTGAAGGGCTCAAGGACTCAAGAGACCGAAGAAGACAGACTAAAGCACTTCCATGGGTTAATGGATAGAAAGGAAAGGGTGTTCTTGACACGAGTATAGTCGTATAGAGTAGAGTGATTGTTGAATCTTATTTTGTTTGTTTATTCTACTTGGTGTACACCCTAAAGAGATCTGACTGGAGTGCCTTTTATGTAAGCTCCTAGGTTTCTAGGGAGAATTCTGGTCTTCCACCTTTTTGTTTACTTTCCGAAGGGTGTATCTGTGTAATGATTCTATCTTTAGTGGTAAAAAAAGGGTTTCTTTTCCACAGAGAGAGGAAAAAGATAAGACCATATTTCAACTAAAAATGGTTGATACTCAAGTAATCATTTTCGGTATGCTAACAGCCTACTCTCTTAGAAGCCATACCGAGTAATGATAGGACCAATAAACAAACCGCACCTCAGAAAATAATATTTAGAAAACCTTAAAAAGTAATTCCTATTAAAAAAATTTGAAATATAGTAATGGATACAAATACGTATTTGAGAACCACAATCAATCATCAATAAGTTGCAGTATATGGGGATGTAGGTGCATTACCAATAGGCCCAACTTTTTGATCGCGGCAGAAACCAATCAGATCTTTCATACTGTTGACAACCTCTGATATCTGAAATATTTGAAGGTTTTAACGAAACAAACATTGTGTGAATGAAATGAAAAAAATTATTCTCCAGTAATGCATTTTAAGAAATGCACGAAAGCCTACCTGCAAACACCTCACGTATCTTTTAGAGAAACCCAAATCATTCAGCAACTGCAACTCCAGACTCTTAGCAAGCTGACGGCCAGCCGTCAGTACCCTAAGAAATCAAACATGTTAGTACATCATGCTGCACAACGAGTTATTCCAGCAGTCCTGCAACTCAATAGTGAATTGACAAATCTCCAACAATTATTCCTATTAAGAGAACTCTAGATTCTAAACCGGTGTTAACAAAAGATTGTAGTACCACTACCCCTACAAGTTCTGCATATGTTAAATTGACAGAACATTTCACAAGGGGAATCAAAATCCTGTACACCAAAAACAACATGGGCAAACAAACCCGCATCACACATCACAGTGGACAACAGAGGCAGCCCGGCCAGAAATTGATGCATTTGGGCAGGTTTCTGATGTTATGTAAAATTATATTGATGGAGGATGTACAGTTTTTTTTTTTTTTTGGGTACTTAATTTTATTATTTTTAAAGTCAATTGAGTTCACGAAGAAAAAAGCTTCGCAAACTAAGCAGCAATGAATCACTGTGATAAGTGCTGTAGTTCAAACAACTCACATATTGCTATTTGTCTGCAAATCTTTCTGAGAAACACCATCAGGCCCACTTTCAGCAATTGTGCTTTGGCATTTCTGGGCAACCTGTACCAGCTGATTTACCTGCAAAATATATATACCTCATTGAATTACAAATGATTTCTCTATCTGAAGGGTTTACAAGAGTGTGACTGAAAATAAAAAAATTTATAATTCTAATACTTTAAAAGTAAAATTAGAAAGCTAATCTAAAAGGTCAAATAAGGATAAGTCACTACATGAATAACAAAATGAAACTTTTGAACAAGTTCCTACACCCTAGAACTGGATGAAAAAGATAAAGTTTAAAATGGCCTTTAACAGGATAGTATAGAAGGGCGGGCTAAAAATATAGGAAACTCGGGAAATTATACGACTATGTTAGTATGTTTTCATGCAATTACTACAGAAGGATGGGTATGCAGACTTAGTGTGGTTCAGAATAATATCTAGAAAGCAGCCTGTGAACTTTTATGCACGGCCAACCAGAATCGTGCTATGGTTAAATCTAAAAAGGTTTTATTGGTTTGCTCTTAAAATATCTTCCTCAGCTTTCATATTACCCTAGCCCCCTTGTGTGCATCAAAAAGCAAACACATGTCAACTGCTATTCATGTTTAATAAAAGCTCAAATGAAACAGATTCCCCATGCCCATTAGCAAAAAAGTTGGCTAAAATAACCTGAAAAAGTTAATCAGTCCACTCCATATTAAGTACAATTGTGATAAGGTTCAAAACCAATACCTGAGGTGCAACCAACCTACGTGGAAGAAGTTCTTCATGGCGCCTTGCACAGAATTCCCAAGACAAGATCTGAAAAAGATTACACTTACATTATTAGGCTACTAACAAATAAATTAGCTGACAACGCTGGTCATTTAGAATAGAAATTTTTAAACCTTTAAGTCTTGTGTGAATATGATGCGAAGCTGACCCTCACGAACAACACGAAGTTGCTCATACACGCTCTCTTGAATTGCTTTTCCATATTCTAACATCATAATTCCAGAAGGAAATCTCTTTTCATAAGGAAGCTCTAGAAATAAAAGCTCATCAATAACTCCACTTCCAAATTTGATCTCACTGAGTCTTGGGAGTACTTCAAACGTGGCCTCTTCAATTCAATTCAATTCGTTAGCATGAGAGCAAAATGTTAGATCTCACAAGAGATCAGAGTGCTAAAACCAGCATACATGAAGTTCAAATTCAAAATTATAACTCACCTGATCTTCTATTAGTAGTTCAAAGAAGTAAAGTTTTATGGAATATAAAATGCCATCCAATGGGATTTTTATGTCGTTTTTGGTCATCACATGCTTAGTAGTTAATATCATTGAATCTTTCACAGACGCCAAATAGGAGAAAGGTAATACACGAAAAATAAAGAGCACAAGGGCTAGATTAAATCGAGTCTTTAACATGAGAAGAAATAAAGTATTTCTTTTAGAAAGAAATGCTACAGAAAACACAGCTTTTAATAGGGAAAAAAGAGACTAGAAAGCCATTGAAAACTGACAGAACCAAATAGTTTCAACAAACACTGCCAGCTAATCCGAAGTAATTTCTCAAGGAACTACATATTTAAATGCAGACCCAAATAAAATACTGCATATTTCCTTGCCTCATACGAAATCGAGCACCAATGAATATCAAAGACTGATCATTCTGCATTGTCAAAGAACATAGAGTACTTTACGTATGGACAACAGGAACAATAGCTATAGATCATATACGCTTATACAACTAAGCAAAAAGATATAATGAAGTTAAATACAAGCATGCTCAAGCTATGTTTTCCTTTTTCCTTGTTTATTGTCCTTTATATCCTACATATTTTCTTTATTCGTACGGTCATTTATTCTTCCTTAAGGGAAATCAAGGTTTTCAATGCGTCGCTGTGTGAAAATATGCAGTAAAAGATCACTTTCTTTATCCTTACCAAAGCCCCTTCCTGATTTGGAACCGCAGATGTCGCACTGCCATGCATCCTGAAAACAGTAAATGGAACACATATGGACATAAATTTGTGGGCAAGTTAACAATAACTCCAAAGCGGCAGTTAGAGTGAATTGAAGTGAATAGCTAATAGCATTACTGCAGCACGGACAACAATTGAAACAAATAAATCTGACCGCAATACTGAAGCATTTATAATTCTAGAAGGAAGAATGAGAGATATTCAAGACTTAAATCTGGACCCATTATCAAGGAATAAATCTGACCGCAATACTGAAGCATTTATATTTCTAGAAGGAAGAATGAGAGTTATTCAAAACTTAAATCTGGATCCATTATCAAGGAATTCTTTCCTCTTTAAAGCTTGAATGTGGAAAAATAACCATATTTCAAGAATATACAATCCTATCTTTTCATAACATTTCTGAATCACAAATGTATAATATAAATTAAGAGCACAAGAAGGGAAACTGATGATATTAAGCAAAGAATATCACAAATTTATAAACTGACCATGGCTGCCTGGGGAAACACACCAAGAGCATGGTGGCCAACATTCTCATACAATGACAAGCACCATCTTTTCTTTGCACGAGGAGAGTAATACTCTGCTACAAACTTTCTCCAGTAAGCAATACTATTCTCCTACAAAAAGGTCATTAGTAGGAAAAATAAGGCAAAAAGGGTTAAATGAAGCCTCAAAATGCGGGAAGAAATACATAACTAGTAAAGGAAGACAGCCACGTGAAAAAATTAGGTAATATAGATGAATATAAAATAATAAAAAAAAAAGATATAATCAACATAACTAGAGATAATAACTCACCTGAGGTCTTTGCCGCTGATGATATAGATATTGCATGAGCCGACGAGCACAAACACCACCACCGTCATATGGGCGCTTCATGGGTGATACTTGCTGCATTGCCTGCTGTTGTTGCAATTGCTGCCTCAACTGTATTTGCTGCTGCTGATGCTGCTGCTGCAACTGAGCTCTCTGGAATGGGGGCAGAGACAAAATTTGCTGCTGCCGCATTCTTTGTTGATGTTGAAATAAAGCTTGTAACTGTGTGTTACGGTTTTGTGACTGCATGGAATCCTGTCTCTGAAATAGCTGCTGCAAAACTTGCTGTTGCAGCACATCTTCCTGCTTTATATCCAATCGTGGTTTCTTCTGCACCTGAGAAAAATTATTTGGATCTGGAATGAAAGATCCCTGGAGTTTTGCACCCATGGGAAGTGATACTTGGCCCATTTGCGATGTTGGTAATGATGTGGCATGCTGTGCCTGTTGCTGCACGTGTTGGATATTTTGGTCCTGTTGAGGATTTTGCTGCACTACGCAGGATCCATCCATAACTGAGGACCCTGACACACTAATGTTATTTGAATTGAATGACATAGGCGATGCAGGCAAGCGCATGTATGACTCTGTATTGATGCTTGCACTCCTTTGCAAATGTGGCCCCCCTGAAAGGGCAGAGTTCGCATCCGTAACTAGTGAACTTGCACCAACACTTGGTCCTGAATTTGCAACACTATTTAAGACTGCATTATTCATGTCTCCGGAAACTGGACCAAAATCAGAACATCCAGTTCCTGGAATTGAATTTGATGAATTTGCAAATGATTGGCTCAAGTGAGAACTAACAATAGCTGGTGACTGCCCTTCTCCTTGGTAGAAAATCCCGGAACTTGATGAAGACTGTGCTAATCCTCCAGCCAGACGAGAAGATGCCATTGAAGCCACCACCCCTTGGTGGCTAGAATCTAGGTAGCCAGCCAGACCTCACCAAAATAAATATTCTCAACACGCTCAATAAGATAGCAAAGCCATACCCATGAGAAAGAAATCCCGAAACCCTCACAAATTCCACATGTCAAAATTTAGAGAAGAGAATGTGGATAATAACATTATTCCACTTGAAAGATTAAGTAGAAAGTGTCTAAGCCCTTTTACCCTTGAGGTCGGGGGAAAAATAATTACTATAAATTCAAGCTCTAGTCAGCCCACTTGAGGCGCAGTGCTATTGGAGTTTCAACAGTAAGTCGAGAAAACCTGGGAGGAAAAAATAATAATAATAATAAAAATAAATGGTTAGCAGATGAATGCGAAAATGAGAGGAAATAAATCCAATTTAATCGAGATCAAAAGCAATCTCTCACAGAACCCAGACAACTTGCTCTAAACTAACAAAGACAAATTTTCCTTCCGACTGGTGAAACCCTAAATTAGCTCCGTATGAAATAAAGCCCGAGGAGAGCCAAGACTGAAAATTAAACTTAGCGCAATAAGGTTACTTCATTCTCTTGAATTACCCAAAGCAAATTCATCCCAATTTCTCGTCGTTCGAGAATATAAAACGGCGATGCAACGGGAATCAACTCAAATCGAACATGAAAACACATCCTCCCTTCCCTACCCAGAGCAAAGAGGGGAAAAAGTGATAGAAAGAACCCAACTCAGCAAATTAATCAGTTCCTCAGTTCAGCATCTAAACAGAAGCTGAAGATGGACAGCAAGAGCTAACATTTGAAAACAAAAAGGAAAAACAGTGAGCTTTAACAGTGTCTCAGAGATCAAATCATGGCATCCAATGAATTCAACGGAGAAGCAAAACAAGAAAACTTCAACAAAATTCTCGCAAATGAAGACAAGCAATCAAACCTCGTCGGGAAGGTGTTGAGAACTTAGCAGAAGAGCGTCGCCATTTTTCTTGCTTAATTCGGAAACCTGAAAATTCATCCAAAAGAGGGAGAGAGACACGGAGAATACTCCCGGTACGTAGCGTAGGCAGCGGAATTGCAGCCAGGGAGTGACCGGCTGCATTGATAAGCCAGTCATCTGTCACCGGCTACTCCCGGTCTATCTCGAAACACGTGTCATTGCGGTGATCGAGAAACGTAGACGATGCCCGATCTTGCGGTGACGAAACGAGGTCGGTTACTACGTGGCGGGTTTTCATTAGTCTGTTTGGGGGTCGCTTATGATGGGTTCTAAAATCTTTCGTCACCCTAAGGGAAAAAATCAGGCGCATTAAAGCCCATCGATGTAAAACATCCCCGACTGCCACCTCATTGATGTGGGGTCATTTTTTTAATTTCGGAAAATATGTAGGGGTCGTATTGTACTTTTGCAGGCAATATTACGTGACGTGTCTCTCATATATTGGACAGCGGTATGATTCTTAAACAACGTGAGCATAGATTTTCGAGGGGATATTTTCAATCACGGCTAATGGATAGAGATTTAAACTTCAAATACCACGTGTAATTCCACTGTACGATATAGATTAATTTTGAATATTTGCAAAGGTTGGTCTGCAATTTTAAAAAAATTAAAATCTTATACCGCTTATAAATTTTAGACTAAATATATATAATTTTATTTCACCATGACTTTTCAGAAGTATTATTTCTAAGAATGATGAACGGTATAATTTAATAAACCGTGCAAAAAAAGGTTAAAGTTTATCAACAATAATTGATATACTTCCAACCAAGAAGTTGTGAGTTCAAATACCTTCTCCAACGTGTTATACTAAAAAAACAAATATGTTTGTCACATTATTTATTCACATGAATATAACATTTATTAGAGTAAATTATTTTAGTACATTTATTCAAGTAATTTTAACGATTAACACAAATGGCAAATCTAGATGTGTGGTTAGAAATTTAGAATAAAATAAACGTGTAGGTGTTAATATAATAACATTTAAAACTAAATTTGGGCATAAAAGTTACCAAAACCCTTAATTTCCATATTAAATTAAAGATATTGAGATAATTTCTTTGATAAAACTTAAATGTTTATTTATCAGCGTTTTTTTTAAATGTTGTAGAAGGTAGAAATTTAACTAGTTAGATTGTTTGGCACAGTAACAATAAGATTTGTAGAGTAAATCCTTGATGTTCATGAAAAACTTTGCCCGGATGCATTCTGAAGCTTTGTTTGTTATTTTAATATAAATACATATGGTAAAGGTGAAATGTTATACAAATCAAATTAGAGAAACATATATATTTTTTTTATGTAAGTTAAATGCGTGAAAATTATAACGTCCCCTATATTACTATTTAGGCATACATTGAACTACAAAAAAATACTTTTAAATTGCAATGCTTTGATAATTTATATATCTCGGTGAATTTTTTTTTATCAAATTTATAGATTACATTGTAAAGTGTAACTTATAATATTAATTTTACGAAGTTGGACACGAAGATCAAAATTTCTAAGAGAACATCAATGTTGATCCAAATGTGGTTGAATTTCTTAAAGTTCTTTAGAAATTAATTGTTTGATCGTTGAATTGAGAGTAATTTGATATTGCTTTTGAAAATAGTTGTTTTAGTGAAGTTTGTTTCTATGTATAATTTTGAAATATACTGATTGATTACTTTAAGGTATAAAAAATACTACTTTTAATTTCAATTTACTAATTTTCATTCACCAACAAGACTATGTTAGCCCAATTACAAATGATAAAATAAAACCGCACTTTGAAAGTTCTAGTATTACTCTCTCGAGTACGGAATAGTAAGTCGACCACGAGGTCAATATAATTAATCGCACATCATATCTCAATTTAACCCCACTAAGGCAAACAAAAGTTTTTTACCCTAGAAGCAATTAGCAACTTGACATGTTTGGTTTAGACCGGGCACCATAAATGAACTTGAGATAATTAGTACAAGTAAGAAATACTTTAAATTGTACTCCTATTTGACATTATACATCATGTCATTCCCTGACACTTTACATGACCAATGTGTTCGTTTACTTTTATAAGTGACACATGAAACATCAATTAATTAATTACATATTTTCAATAAAACTAATATTATTATCACGTTAAATCTCGGTATAAACTCAAAATAAGTGAACTATATCAATAAATTTTTGTATCAACAACTTTTTGAATTTCAACCCTACTAATCAATTTAGTATTTAATTTCAACCCATACAAATAAATTTAACAACCTTAATTAAAAAAAAAATAATAAAAATGGGAGACAAAATGTTAGAAAATTAATTTAGGCAGATATTTTAAGGTAGGTACAATGAACAACCTTTCATTGCTCTCTCACATTGAGTTGCTTGGAAAAAGGGCAAAAGGTCTAGTCAATGAGCTCCATCAAATGATTGCTTGTTTGGTATGGCCCTTTATTTAATTCCTTTCTTGTTTTTTTTTTTTCCAAACCAATTTCTTATTTATTTAAAACTTAAAAGTATTTGTATAAAGAACTACCCTCCGCTTTCTGGATATTGCAAAGATATTATTCATGGAATTTTAATTTGATTAATTTTTGCAACCGTGTTAAAAGAATTTTACACTCTCTAACTATTAGTATAATAACAATTTGGACCCAAAATCTATGCTATTATCTCAACAACTAATAATTAGTTTTGACGGATTATATTCTTCAAATAAATTTCAATTATAACGATAGTGATCGAATCTCTCTCTAATTTAATTATAATTAAAACACTTTAATTATTAATTTTAGTAATCAAATAGCCAAAGCTGAGCATAGCTCAGCGGTAATTGGCATATATCTCCAACCAAGTGGTTGTGAGTTTGAATCCGCTCCTCAACATGTTGTATTCAAAAAAAAATTTAGTAACCAAACATCCTTTTAATTTATAATTTCGTTTGGTTAAAAATGATTTTTACTCCATAATTTTTAACTATTGCATCATAGCAGTTTATATATAGTGCTGTTAAAAAATTGTTTATAGTTTGCCATTCAAATCCTTACTTATATTTGTAGTGTAATATTATTAAAATAAAAAACTATCGATGTATAATAGTGCAATCTTTTCATTTGATTTAAAATATGAATTTCAAAGGAATGGAGGTGGCCTACCACAAAGTTTTAATTGACCATCCACCATGATGTGAGGAGGCACTAATTTTCATGTTTAGAAAGCAAAAGCAACAATTTGTCCTTTATGTTTTAAACAATAAAATTCAAAATAGGGAATTTCTTTGAAACAAATACCAAGTTGCTTTTAGTTTTAACATGCTTTATGGTACAATTTACAATAACATACAATATTTTAATCAACCCATTTCTTATTTCCAGCATTACTATATTTAGAAATTTAAATTTATTTGCAAGTTGACCAAATTCATTAATAATATAAATTTGTATATATTTTAAGACAATTATTTACACACACATACTCCATCTAATCACAACTCCATTTGAATCGATATACATGAATACCCATTAAATATCAGATCTATAATAGCAAAAGAAAACCTATGATGCAACATTAAAAGAAAAAGTTTCTTTTTTTCCTATGTGATAATAAAGTAACGGTGGTAGAATTTCAAAAGAGAATATTAATGTAAATAATGAAAAGCAAAATAGGTGTAAAGGGAAGATAAGATGTTGCTTGCTTTTTCTTGAACTTTTTTGTGAAAAAGAAAGGATTCTTTGACACATTGTTTGATTCTTGGTGCTGTAATCAATCCAACTTTTGATTTTTTTTTTCTCTTCTTTACTATATTTGTAAACTTCTAGGTTTCTTTCATTTTCATATCAATAGGATTTTTCCACTCCCCAAATTTGTAGACAACAATATACAATCAAATTATTTGTGTGAGAGACAACAATTTTTCTTTCTTATTCATCGCAACAATAGAGATACAAATAAAATAATTTAGAAAGCATGTCTAATTTATTGAAAATTATATAATTTTTTAATGTAATATTAAATCACAAATAAAAAGGGGTGTATTTGAATCTACAACTTATCTCAATTAGGTATAAGTATAGTAGTTAAAATACCTATTGTTTTTTATATAATTGAAGAGGTAAGTCAAACAAGTATGAAATTTGATAAAATTTTGAGAATTAAAGGTGCCAAAAGCATATTTTCAAAACTTTGGAGCAAAATATAAGATATATTTATCTTTAACATATCCCAATTATTTGTGGTATATTAAAATATTGAAAATGTGCATGAAATTTTGTTATATCCACTCATGTTTCGAGGTTTGCGCTTTCGAGGGTACAAGTTATCATATTTTTGGGTATCGAGATATCTCATAGATATCCTTTGCAGAAAAAGAGAGATTTTAGATTTATGAATTTCATATTCCCCAAAAAGAAAATACATGGAAATTTGTATATAACGAAACACGTGTTTGATAAAGTTTTCTAATTTATCAAGACTACATGCAGGCAAAGAAAAAATAAATAATGCAAAAAAGCAAAAATTCTTCTTAAATTTTGAAGAATGAATAATACTTCGGATTCGCAGGGGGCCTCAGGCCCTACTTAGTTGACTGACAATGACGAGTGTGACTTCATAACGTGAATTTGTTTAGACTTTGAGTTATTTATGGCTCGTTTGGTAACATTTTGTATTAATTTTTAGTAAAGAAAAATAGAATTGTATAGTTCAACMCTCATGAACTCAAGGATGATAACATAATATTTATATTTATGTATTGTAACAAATTGGAAACAAAAATAAAAAATAAAAAATTTGTTTTGATTGTTTCTGAAATTTTTATAGAATTTTGAGAATGTTTCCGTATGACAAACAATAAACATATTTAGTTGCAAAATGCTTAAGTATTTTAATAAAATTTGAAAACAATAACAAAAAACAAAAACGTTACCAAATGGATCTTTACTTTTTCTTTTTTTCTTAATGCGGTAAAAGTCTTATTTTAACTAGATAATAAAACGGAAAATCTACCATTAGACATTTCCATTATCATACGATATTTTATCTTAAGTGATATATGCTATTTTGGGTGAAAATAAAAAGTGCAACTTTTAGAATTTATGCTCAAGTGAACAATATCACACGATCGTAGATTTGTGTAAGTTCCATTGAAAAAGTAGTAGGGTCACGACCCAAACAAATCATATTAGTATAATCTTCGAGTGACCGAACAAAAAGGATGTGAGAAGAGTTTGCAATATTGTCCACGCCCTATAACAAGTTAATTTTCTCTCTCTATATATTTTATTATTTTAATCCATAATATGTACATTATCCAATTGAGTTAGGTTATGATTGTCCATATTTTTTATATTTCATAAAGGCAGTATTGTTATTTAAAAAAAAGGTGCCATGTAAATATATATTAATACACACATACTACACATATATTTAAAAATTTGTTTGTATTGTTGGCCCAAAAATCAAATCTAGATCATATCATACTACAATGTACGTGAAAATTTTAGAACAAATGAATGTTCAACAGAACCAACTCCAATTTGTCGAATAAGGAAGTATATTAGGGAGATTTTTTTCTATTTATACTTATTATAAACATAAGTTTCAATTTGATTAAAATTCTGCATCGAGCCCAGAGATAATGTAATCTGTAAACAAGTTCGTCAAATTGAGACAGATTGAAGGGGTTTGGATGTGGATCAAACAGCGAAGCGTCCAGCTCCAGCCCACAAACCCTCAATACTGAAATTTAGAGATTTTCTAATGTAATTCGTTTTCTCGGTTGCCAATCATGACCGGCTCAATTCTCTCTCCCAACCCGTTAATTCGGTTGACATCCACTCCCCGATTTCGCGCTAAAACTAGGCTGAAGGCTCCAGCAGTTTCTGCTCGTCTCGACGATTCTAAGAACTCGGCTAATCAGCAACTTAATCTCTCTGTCCTTCGATTCACGCTCGGTATCTCTCTCTCTCTCTCTCGGCATTTTCTGATGCAATTAGAGAATTTGGGGCTTTGGGAAGCAGTGAAAACTTTGTGTGTAACATTTCGTTGTACTTTGGGGTTCAGGGATTCCTGGATTGGACGAGTCTTACTTACCTAGATGGATCGGTTATGGATTTGGTTCACTTCTTCTCCTGAACCACTTTTTTGGTTCGAATTCAGCTGCTCCCACCACCCCAGCGCAGTTAGTAAGCACACACAATTTTGGGAAACGCCTTTGTTTTCAGATTCTCGTTGGGTTTTGATTATTTCTGCTATTTGATGTGATTTTAATTGCTCGTAGAGGACTGAGGCTTTAGGCCTTTCCTTGGCAGCATTTTCTATTGCACTCCCCTACTTGGGAAAGTTTCTTAAGGTAACATATTACATTATTGTTCTGCTTACTTTCGTTATTTTTTTCATTCCCTTCCTCTACTTACTGAAAATTTCCGTTAACCTCAAAAAGGAGGATTAGAGGTCCTTGAAACTGCTGGTTTATGTAGTCCTTAGCATTGCCACTGTCTGCCAATCCCCCAGTATGTATTGATGGGGGAAAGTTAGTACTCTAAGTAGAGACTGACGAGGAGTAAAAATATGAGATGGAAATTGTAAAGTGAGAATGTCCTTAATGATGATCGGAAAATCTAGCACTGAGGCCGTGATGTGGGAATACTTAGTAATCAAAATTTCATGATTTTGTTCTCGTGTAGGACTTTAAGTACTGGAGATTAGATTGAGAAGAACTTGTGTCAGTATGTGACAGTATTTGTGAATGAACTCCAAACCTAGGGACCTAGAAATCTAAAAAGGAAGGAGTGATGTCTTTCTAGACGTTTGGGTTGGATGGATGGCCATCAACAATCCTATGTAAGTTCAAAGATTCTGGATGCCTTGTTCAGCCCAATTCTTCTCAAATACGATCCATCCTCTCTTGACTTCGAATAGGTTTGTCATTCATCAACCTCAATAATTTTAGTCTTCTTATGCTTCTACTTGTAGAGCCCATCTTGGAATATCCCTGTAGACAGAAGCTCTATCATTGCTAAATTATTCTCTAACATCCTGTTCTTGTTACATCTGTTCAGCTCAAATGTCACCTCATATCTCAACATCTAGCCTTTTTCATATCTGATAATGACTTATTTGCTCAAATATAGGACCATACAACAAAAAAGAGTCTCACCACCTTCTTAAATTATTTTGATTAAGGTTGCCCACATGACCTTTTTTATTAAATAATATCTTCTCACATCATTGACGAGGCCATTGTGACATGCTTCTTCTCAATTCTAGCATCATAGCATTCCACAAGTTGCTGACTTGAGTCTTAGGGTAACTTAATCAAGGCACCATGTTCATGTCTAATTGAAGCATTGAGACTATTTCTCCCCCACAGTAACTAGAGTCCTGTTTTTGCTTTTCGATTGATTGCTCTACATGTCAAACTGTCAATTCATTTAAATAGTAGTCAATAGATATCCAATCTAATTGGCTCTACACTTGCATGGGCAATGGTTACTGCTTAGATAATTGAAACAAGAAAAAGAACTCTCTGATTGCAGGGTGCAGTTCCATCAGGCGAAGCTAGCCTGCCTGAAGGCACTGAGCAAATATTTGTCCTGTCTCAAAATGTATCAGATAATGTAAAGGAAGACTTGGCTTGGGCAACATACATCTTGCTGCGCAATACAAATAGTATATCAGTGGTATCTCTCAATTTTGTGTCGCGTACATTTTACTTCACAAACATATAGAAAGAGAATGCACTATAGTCTATATTCAAAAGATTAAACTATTTAGCTTAACTTGATGCTGACCAAGTTTTAATCCAAGTTTTAATATTTGAATCATTTCTTATCTTTGGAATCAGTTAATACAAATTCGAGGGGAATTATGTGTTCGAGGATACTGGAATAGTCCAAATGATATATGCGGAGCAGATTTAGTTGCCTGGTTTGAGGAGCAGCTTCAGAGCATTGGTCTGTCTGCATTAAATGATGACCTCTATTTCCCTCAGATTTCAGGTATATGATGAGCTTAGCCGTTGATAGTGTTTTCATCAAGGTCCTTTTGCCTTCTAGTTGCACATTAAAGAATGTGTTAGAAACCACCATAATTGATGGAGAAAATCTTGTTTTCTTCTTAAAGAGTCCCTGATGCTGACAGAGGAATAAATTGATAAATTAGGTTGAAGACAGATAATGCTAATTTTGAATTTCTATATTCTATTTGAAGTTGTAATGATAGGCCACCGGTAATACATGTTTACCAGAGAAAACGAGTTAAAGGGAGAGGGGCAGAGAGCACAGTATTTATTAGTTAGTTGGGTTGGCTCACTCATGTAACTCGTGCATGTTGCTTGGAAAGGAGAGAAGCCATGAGTGAGATGGGATATTAGATGGGGGTATCCAAGGGATATCTACCCTTTAAAAGATTCAGGTATTGATTATCAACCGATATCAAAATTTCAAGTAATCTTCAAAGTCATATTGGTTTCTTTTCCTTGTGGTGATGAGGTGTTACTCCTGGTTGTTCTCTGATTTATACATGCACTGATAGTAAATTTAACGAATACCATGATTTTCTATGAAACCTTTCAAGGTTTTCACAACTTTTTTCAGATTCTGAACTCTGGAAAATGCTGCCCAATGGCACTCGCTCAGTTTTAGTACAGCCAGTGAAACAAAGTGGCAACAAGATGGAAAAGATTGGTGGATTCATATTGCTGGCTTCAAGTTTAAGTTATGCCTTTAGCGACAAAGACAGAGCCTGGATAAGAGCTCTTGCAAACAAGTTCATAGATAGGGACATACTCTGAAATTCATGGGGAACTAAGTAATGACTCTCTTCTATATCTTTTAGCTTTTGGCATGTGCAATTATCTGAGGTCATGAGCATGGTCCGGTACTTCTTTTTGCAGATATAAGACAGATTAATTTTGAGTTTACCCAGAAACTTGAGAAGGAAAAATCTATATATCAGTGCTTTTTCTTTTTTCCTCATTATCATTAGGCCATGGCAAGTGCTTTGTAATCTTCTCCAAAATATATTGTTCTAGGAACCTGCCTTTTTGTAGAGATATCATGGAATGTGGAATCAAAATTTGTAATATCCTCCACCCATCTTATAGATGTGAAGTTTTCACTTGGACAATCAAATGAATGGTTGTTGTGAATTTGTATGGAACAGATGCCCAGCAGATTCTTGGCATGAGAGTTTGAACAAGTAGCAGTATCAAAGTTTTTTGAGATCCACTGATTTTTCTGGCCTGATCTGTTGACCGCAACTCTTTTTCCTCAAATGTAAACTATAGGACGAAATATGTACGAATCCATTAGAATCTGTGTTTTCACGTGAAAAAAAATGTACCTTGAAAAAGTATATAAAGTGAGGCCATTTTAGCTGGCTCCTAGTAACCATTTCTTAATGGTTCTTTCTTTCCCATTAAACTGAAAATTAGATTGACATTCCAACTTGGTTTAGCTAATGCCAATTAGGATATTTAAGTCATTGTTGGGTTGAAATATAGACACTGAGGTTGTCATAATCTCAGAGCGGGTGTGTTGTTAGCGGCAGCAAATTTTGAAGTTTTCTGGAGATGGGTAATTGGGCAGAGAATGATAAGGAAATAAAAAACATTGGACTATAACCCCTCTTGAAGAACTAAATAATTTTAAGTTTTCCATGTACACAAAGGAAAATGAAAAACAAAAATTTTCTTTCAAATCTCTCTCTGGCTTGAGCTCCTAACTTTCCTTTTTGTAAACAGGCTGAGATGGTCGCTCTGTCGAATGAATAGCAGAGATTGGGCTAATGGGTTGAAGCTTCACAAAAATTTCTCCAAGCCGTACACCAAACTCTGACACAGAAGCAAAGAAAGGAAACAGTCTGACATTTTCAATACTGGATGAATAAGATTATTCAAGAAAATTGAAGATGTATATATTGTCGTGTGTTGAGGTACCTTAAGGCGCACCACCTTTCTAATTGCCAATAACAAGCCAGGCATGAGGCATTGCACATTTATGATATCATGTTTGAGAGTGTAAACCTGTGATGCAAGCCAGGGTAAGTGTTGGAGAAGGAAAAAACCAACCAGTCTCGTTTCAGAATGAATTGAAAAGATAAAATTCACCATATGCTACAGCTTGAGCTCACGGAATTTCTTAATTTTAGTTAGATGAGGATAGAAACACAATCTTGTACTCACCTCTCCCGGGCGAGAGAAGTAGACATTGGTGCTGGAAGGAAGTCCTGGAAGGACTAGGCTGTGAACTCGAACTCCATCTTCTCCAACAACTTGACCCCTTGCCTTGCAAGGAGAAAGGCAAAATAAGCAAGCTAGTCCTTTACATGGGTTTCTAAGTTTGATGTCTTAGCCATCAGTATGATGAATTCTCATCATATTTCTAGAAGTTCTACGCCAATCTTGTACATGTAGTTGGGTTCTTGTTGGTCAAATTTCTTTAATTCATGTCATATGCATAAGTTTTTTCTCTCATATTCTTTGAAATTAAAAGATAGTTATATGATGTGAAAGTTAAGAGAATTCAGTGGTCTCATATTTTACTTTTACCTTCTGTCTCTCTATTCTTAATGAGTACTGATCCATCAAATTAAATGAGGCAGAGACTACTCATATGGAGTCAGCTTACCACAACTTCTGTTGAAATATCTTCTCTGTTGTAGATCTGGCCCAAGTTTGAGAGGTTGTTGGCTATTTGGGCTGCATCTGAAGATGGCAGATCCTGCCACCCAAAAAGTCAGTATTTAATGTCCATCTGCCACATTTACTGCTCTCTCTCTCTCTCTCTCTCTCTCTCTCTCTCTCTCTCTCTAACCTTCCAATGGTATTTTTAATACACAAATGAAAGTGGGAAGGCTAAAAGTTGTTTACTTGATTCAGATGTTTAACTAACCCAATGTAGGTGAGTGAGAAGAAGGCATGTTGATTTGTCGTATTTAATGACAAAGGTCACGAAGCCTTGTTTAAAGACGATGAAATGGAAAGGTAATGCTTATTTTTCTTTCCCCCTGAAACTGAAAGAGTAAATAGTTGATGATGTAATTGGATAACCTGTGCATTCTCTCTGGATTCCACAATCTCTACATTGCTGTAATGGAATGAAGCTGAAATTGCAGCTTGCTGGAGAAGAATAGAACCAATGGACAGAGTTGGGGCGACAAGACAACCCTGTAACAAGAACCATAAAAGCATTCATACAGGGAGAGAGAGAGAGAAGAGAGAGAGAGGGTTGAATTAAAATCTCACCCTGTGCTCACCATGCTAGCTTTCTCACAGAAGTTGGATAATGCAGCCACTGTGTCCACTTCTAATCTGGGCACATAAACCACACTTCTCATGCCAAATGCAGCTGCCTAATTTGAAAACAAAGCAAATCAGAAGGATGAACTTTTGGGATTTGAACATTTCTAGAAGAAGAAAAAGTTTGATGTTTGCCCATTGAGGAAGAAATATGAAGATTCTAGCTACCTGCTTCACATTCTCATATACTTTAGAAGGTTCGGTAAAATCAACAACAACTCCTGTTGCCTTTGACTGCAAATTAGCAATGAAATAGTAAAACTTTTGAGACTTAAACCAGACATGCCATTAAGTTTTAGTACCTGAGATATTGAGCCTAAAACCATGGTGAGATCATTTAATATGGGTATTTCCAGAGGTTCTTCCATGTCACACACCTAATTTTACTCATACGGATCAGTAAAACTTAGAAGTTTAAACAACAAAACCACACAGAGGAGAGAGAGAGAGAGAGAGAGAGAGAGAGAGAGAGAGAGAGAGAGAGAGAGAGAGACCTTTCCAATGTCTTCTCCTACAGAGTGTGAATCAACAGCACCAGCAACCTCCATTCCTCTTGCCTTTGTCACTGCAATAACTGCAGCTCTTCCAATTTCCTTTGCTGCTCCATTTATAATTACCTGTTTTAATCCAAAAGAAAAAATTGAATATTTGGTGTTGAACAGAACAATGAGATTTATTAGAGAGTGCTGTTGGGTCACCTTGATATTGCTCTGACTCTGAGATGGTTGAACCGAGCAGAGAATTGAAGAGTTGGGTCTCTTTCTCTCTGAGTTTCTATACACTGTAAAGGGAAATTGGCAACCCAGGGCCGCCATTGTTGTTGGTTTCAAAGCTCTGTTTCTTCTTCTCCGCAGCTGAAATGGGTCTAATTCCCACAAGAAGATAAGCCCATTTTCACCTTACCCTTATGTCTTCGTTTGATAAGGTTTTTGTGTTTGTGATGTGCCAATTTGATCCCATGCGACAACGATAGGATATCAATTTTCTTGAGAAAATGTAATGTAATTAATGGGTGTGAGATTTTTTTACTCCAAATCAGATTTTGGCTATTCTCTCTCTCTTATATTTATATATCTTTTCTCTGGTTGAATACAACAAAATGTGGTGATGGGATAACGAAACTCCTAACAAAAAGAGGAGAAAGAAGTGTCTTGATCATGCTCGTATCACTTATGAAGATAAGGATCGAACAAAAACAAAAAAGTTGTAATATTTTTATGTTAAAAGTACCGACCATCCCGATACAATTAACGATTTTATAAATTTTAATTTGCAATGATCTGGTTTCATGTACTTTCGGTGACAATTTAATTCAAAAACTTTAATATATAATAAATTGGATTATATGGTTTAAAATTTGTAATACTTTAGTTTCTATTGTGAAAAATATAGTTGAAATTTAATAAGATTTTTTTATATGATGGATCATAAACTAACAAGAGGCCAAACCTATTTATAAATTACAAATATTAAATTGTTATATGTAATAAGAACCGACACTTAATTTTGATAGATTTTTTACTGGTAAAGATTAAATTGTTACAATTTTTAATTTATAGGAACTAATATTAAAGCTCAAAGATGAAATTATTTCCAATCAAAAAGTATATGGACTAAATAATTATAAACTAATATTATTAAAGCATAGGAATCAAAATTATTTTTTAACCTTATTATTATTTAAGTTGAACATTCGCAGGAATGTAAGATCAAATTATAATGGGTAGTTGTTTTTATGCATTGCGCTCTATTGTCCCATATTATTGACAATATTTTCCTATTGAAGCCTTATCAGAGAAGGTTTTTATAGCCGTTTTTGAACTATCCTCGGTTAAAATATATATATATATATATATATACTCCGTAGTTTTAAATATAAAGGATGGTGTTATTTTTCCAACCTGAATATAATTTAAAGGATTAAAACATGAACAAAAATTCGTATTCAAAATTCTACCCTACATATTGTTGTACTGAAAAAAATACAGGATGGTTTTGAAGAGAAAAAAATGAAAGAGAAATAGAATAAGATTATATGATTGGAAGAGGAAGGTATTAAAAATTATAGGTGAGCTATATAGATTTGTATAATTGAACCTGATTTTTATCAAAATTAATACCAAATTGACATGTGAGTTTGAGGAAAACAAATAATTTAAGACTAAACAACAAGGACGGATTGAAATAAATAAGATATCAATCTTACTTATTTCCTATGTATATAGGACTTTATATATAGAAAAAAAATATTTATATATGTTTCTTTGATCTATGATTCCTCAGATTTGACCGATGAAAAGTAAGCAAATCCAACGGTTCAAATTAATCCACTAGACTACACATTTCCATCATTGTTCTTCTTACTTCCAAAAATAAAATAAACCTTTCAAACCCAACCACTCCTCTAGAGAGAGAGAGAGAGAGAGAGAGAGATTTCCATTTCCATTTCCATTTCAATAAAATAATTTATTTTCTAGTTTTGCATTATATCAACATCATTATCTTTCCATCCCCCACATAAAGAAAGGGAAATAAAATTTCAATCTTTAAATCCTCTCCCCCTCTAAAAATAGTATAAAAATTTAAAATTGACAGTGTTAGTACAAATAATTATGACTTGTAATTGGGTTATTACTTAATTAAAGTTCTTTTATACAAATATTTCTTTTTTGTACTTTGGAAGAATTCCCCCCCTAATTGGTTGCATGTTTTAGCTTTAGATATTTAATCTTATAATTACATGCTTTGGTTATTCATCAATCATTTAGAATAAGTGGGAGTCGAAAAAGGGTAAAATGGAAAATTTAAAATTAAAATTAACCCATCCACTCAGAAAAAGGAAAAAGATATGATTTGATTTTGTTTTTTGATCTGATATTTTCCAAACGAATCAAACTTATTCAATAATTGGGGGTTTTTTTTAAATCAATAATTGGTATTTGGTGACTCGACATTGTGAAAATTAATAAAGTACGAAATAAAATCATATATCATAATTGATAAAATAAAACTCCATTTGAATTCTGAACAAAAATCAAATTATCATCATAATTCCATCGATTTACTGATTTTTCAACCTAAACAATTAAACAGTTTTTTTTTTTGGTAGATTTCAGAGTTTAACATTAAAAAAATGTGGGTAAGATGCAAACCCTCCCACTTAGAAAAAAAAAGATTCATATCTTTGACTATTTTAAAAAACATTACATAAAAAATATAGAGTCGACTTGCCTATTCAAAGAACTAGGAACATGAACAAAATTTAGCCCACTAAACACCTCCTCCAAAAGTCACAACATCCCCAACCTCATTAAATGACGTCGGGAAGACTCTTTAACTAATGAAGTGATCTTGTCAATTATGACACATTTCTTTAGAATTTGAAGGAAAATAATTTCCTCCAAAATTGCCTTATTCTACACTATGACAAGTAACGAAGGATTAGACAAATTAAGTTCGATTACTTTCACAGATTCTAAAACAGGGTCGATGCCTTCAACATATAACCTCTTTTTAACCATACGTTTTGAAACTAATTAAGCTAGATTAGAGATATTAAAAACGTTTTGAAATTAAGAACAAATGATTACTTAATAGCTTAGATATATAGGAAATAAAAAGTGATATTATTTATGGTCATTTTTAAAGAAATTTACCAAATGGGTAGAAAATGCTATTTCCAAGTGCACCGACAGCATACAAATTAATTGAAATATTGTTATAAAAGTATTAGAATATAAAAAAAAAAGGTGTAAAGTATATAGTTTAATAAGAGGTCAAGTCATAATAAAACAACTAAAATATTATAATTGGATGAATAATTAAGAGTCAACGAATATAGTAGGTTGCAACGTCACCATCGAAACCACGTCCGCATGGGATAAACTCTTGATTTGACCTCCCACAGGCAAAATGACTTTTCTGCCCAATGGATAGTCGACACGTGTTTTGCACGCTCCGGAGTGTCGGTGGTGGTTGCCAATTCGTCAGACCAAGCCACGTAGATGTGGCGCCCTTCTGTCTACCGGGCCCCACTGCCAAATGTAATTATCGCATTTTTCATTTTTATGATTTTAGATTTTAAAATTTTTGCTTGACATTTCAAAAGCATTTCATAAAATAATAAAGAATTTTAGATGAGTAAATTCCTGTGATCAAGTTTAATTTTTAAAAAATAGAAACTAAAAATATTTCTGTTACTAAACTGGCCTGAGTTATTCTTATAAATTTGGATAATTTAGATCTTAGTTCACGTTTAAATATTAGGCCTAAAGSGAAATATGAAAATATTTCCACTTTAATTCTAAAAAAAATGTATACTCTCAAATCATAATAATAATAATGCATCCATTATTTTTACTTTATTAATTAAAAAACCTACATATTATCTATATTATCTTACTTAGAATATGTAAAAGTTACCTCCCATCATATTTTCAACAGATTAAACTCAAATGTAATGGTTCAAATTAAAAAAAAAATAGAAAAAGTTTTTCTGTCAATATTTTAAGTATACAAAAATTAATAATAAAATTAAYCTAAATATAACGGATTAAGACGTAGAGTTTGAATTCTCACTCCACTCCACTCAGGGTTGATGTACTCAAAGAAAAAGTAATAACAAAATCTGAAAACGTGAGATTTTTTCAATCTGAATGAGTTTGTGTGGTTTTTATTTACTCTAAAATTTTCATAAAAAATCAACTTAAGGAAGTTTGGGAAATTTCAAAATTGCCCTAATYTGGAGAAAAAAATACTGGAGGAAAAAAAAAAGGGAAAGTTTGGGTCTTGCTTTTGGAGTTCCAAGGCTTCCAAAACATTCCAAAATGACAAAATGATATTCATAAATCAGATCAAATTGGTACCGTTTTCAGAAAAGAAAAGAAAGAATAAAATTAGTAATATAATTATATGGAAAGTTTTTTTGTACCAAAACCAATCACCTTATGCAAAACTTATCGTGGAAAGGAGAGAAATAGTTATGGGTGTTAATTTCATATAAGAATATTGTTGTTAGATTTTCTTTAAATTTCTTGGCAAAGTAATGTTATATGGAAATATTAATTAGAAAGAAATCAGTTTCCAGTGGGAGTAGTTGAAAAACAGTGACCAGTTTAAATAGATTCCTATTTGATCTATAAATTTTCCCATTTTATTCCTTTGAAAAAGAAAAAACATTTATTATTATTTACTGAATTTTTAATAAAAAACTATTTTAAATTTTTTTAGTACCGCACATGAAAGTAAAGATTTGGACTCACGACTTTTTAATCGAGAGTATGTGGYTTAACCAATTGAACTAAGGTCTYAGACTAAAAAATTTATTTKGGTGGTGGTTTATATATAGAGTTGATAAATTTTCATCCTAATTTTTTGAATGACAAGACCTCACAGGCCATTAAATATTATGAAAAATCAAACATTTCTAACTTCCTATCCCGAGCATAAAGAAAATTAGAAGAAAAAAAGGCATAAAAAAATAAGTATATATAATGAAAGAGACGTTTGAGAAGTTTAAACTAACTTTTGAATTTCCAAAAATGACTGGAAAAATACCATATACCCAATTGAGAAGACAATAAAAATCTAGAGAAAAAAAAAGAACACGTTTGGTGTCTAAATTTAATAAATAATTCATCTTAATCCATAAGTTACATAGAATGACCTCTTTCCATCCCATTTSAAAGATTATTTAAATTGTTTAAAATTAAAAAAAAATGTAGAAGACGGTTTTAAGAAAACATACCCTAACCATCGTTACAATATCGTAACTTATATCAATAAATCACATGTTAAATGGTTAAATACCTAGCAATTTTTGTGCATTAAATGGATCAAATACATTCGTGTTCTTTTAAATTTTTTGTTTAGCTTGATTAAAAAAAAATCTTTTTTTATTAAGTTAAAAAAGAAAACAAAATTACGAGAGTTTAATATGTCTAGACTCAACAATATTGTAGAAACATGAAGAGTAGTTTGATTGTCTTTAAGAATTATTATTCTTAACCAAACCAAACGATAGGACAAAGAGAAAAAAAAAATTAACTAATTAGGGATTTGATAATTAGATTGAAAATCAAGCCCACCATCGAGACCTCGTTTTTTTTAAGTACATTTCAAAGAATAAAAATAAATATTTTTATTAATTTGTTAGTGTTTACTAAASTATAGGTATAAAATCAATTTTGTGGACCAAGTTACGCTTGTCTYCCATTGAGAAAGTTGTAAATTTGAATAGTAACAAAGAAAAGAAAAAAATCATTTTTTTTGGCGGAAAAAAAACTACCCTGTCAATTTCATTGCCATTCATCTTTCTTTCTTCTTCTTCTTTTTTTTTYCCATAAACTTCACACCTTTTAGGTAGTTACTTTACATTTTTTTATAATTATCTCTCATTTATTAACCTTTTTTTATTATTTTTTTTTACAAATTTACTATTTTATTTATTTATACTTATAATAAAAAAATTATACATGTTTTTTAATTGCTGTGATATTATTATAAAATATTTGAAACTTATATTTAATTGATCAATTATTTAATTTTAATTTGTCATTATTAATTAATATCAATAATATTATTAAAATATAATTAATTATTTTTAAAATTATAATAATAAAATTAATAATATTTTATATTAATGATGAATGTTCTAATAAAAAGTTAGAGTTGAAATGCCATTTTAGCTAATGTAGGTTTTTTCCTTCATTTAGTTTTTGTACTTAAAAACATCGTTTTTTACTTTCAAAAACATTATTTTTGGCTACAATTACCCGCGAAAGATTGTTCCAAGTTAAACACGCTTAATTTTTGGAATTTTTACGATTGAGTTACTGAAAAGAAATGTAGAACTTGTTAGTACATGTAGTACTATCAATTYTTTTAAGTCTTTCCTTAACCAATCTTTCATTGTCTCAAGATTTCTCTCATTCGGATAAGACATGGGTTGTACCTCTCCGACGTCACGAAAACATTCACTGATTCCCTAGATTTTGAGAGGGGTACTTTCCTTTGGTTTCAAGAGAGAGAAATAAAGGAGAGTATAGAATAACGTATTGGAATTAAGACCACACACTTCCTCC